GGTCACAATAGCCTGGATCCAGTATATGTGGACCTCCAGTCCTAATATTATCACTTCAAGTCGCCAGCTGTAGTATCGACTAGAATAGCTGTTCATTCTTAGGCAGCCATCGCCTTGACTGGAGACAAAAAGGCTTCGACTCAACTACGCTAGTCAACGGCATAGTCTTGCAGTGGATTCTCTCTACCCCTCAGCTACGCACAGCTGAATAACATTATCACCATTATCCTTTATGAAGGTTTGTTTATCTTTCAATGATGTCAGCTGAGCCTACTTTGATTAACCTAGAGATTAAGCAATCTCGATCTGCTTATCCGTACACATATGTCCATGGAAACCTGAATGTTAACTTGAAATGATGTGGGCTACGCGGGGTGTCCGTATATTTCTTTCGGCCTAGTGGTATTTTGTAGCTAAGAAAACCAAACTTTGAATGCGCCATTTAAGCGAGATGGGTTGCGGGTGGCATTCATGCCCATACATCCCATTCAACATCAGATTCAAGATGACCGGCTGTGATAACCGATGTAGATAATAGTGGTGAGTTATAAATAAATGTCATAATGTGAGTCAAGTAATTTGGGCAGAATGAGGGGTAAAAGCCATAGCTGAAGAAATGATGTCAGAGCTGAAGCAGATCGGCATAGCTGAAGCGAAACATCTCAGCCGAATGTCTTCAGCTGAGGGTAGCTGAGTCGATCCCACAGTATTAATACCCCTCCCTCCCCTCCATCTCTACCTTTCAATCTCCATCATCTTGACCCGATTTACTATTTCCTCACAACAGATCTTATTTTCCTTCTCTCACCGCAAAAATGCTCGACGCCGTGGAGGTCCCATTTGACGCGTCCAAGCTCGCATTTCGAACCAATTTCGATGGCCTCTCTACTTCCAACCCCGCCCTGCAACTTCAACTTGAGAATGTGACCAAAAGCTACCAGAGCGCCCTTACAAATTTCGCGTCTGAAGACAAAAACGCACGGGAAGACTACCAGGATCAAAAGGACAATGGCCTCACTGATGCTAGCTTTGGAACGTGGGTGAAGCAAGGAGACGTAAGTCCATGCATCTCATGTCGAGTTTTGGAAATCAGCCTGAAAGATCTGGTATTGCTAACACCCCTACCAATAGTGCCCCCAGTGGATCGCGGCGAAGAATCAACTGGAGAGTGCTGGTGCCCAGTTAACCCAAGCTGCTATGAATGCCTTTGGGCAAGACTACCAACAAAAGCTTGGCAAAGAACAGAGTGATTTTTCTCGTGAAGCACACCAGGCGGGGCATTGGCCAGAAATGTTCTAAGGCACGGTGGATTACAACATGAAAGCTTGGAGTCTTTGAACTCGGCTAGCATTATGTATATGCACTAGCGATCGATTTCTATACTGTCATCAAAAGATACCAGGTGTTTTCTAAATACAAGTATCTAAGAAAATACATACAACCAATAGCAGTATCTAATAGATGTCGATTTCATATCAAGTTTCACGAATTAAATATAACAACAATCAAGTCTTAATATTATACAAATCTAGATCCTATGTAAAGTATTCATGGTCGAGTTCTATAGATTTCTGCCTCGTAATTCAAGAGATAACTTGCCGACATAGCTCATATCAATCCTAGGTTCAAAATGGTCCAAGAGCCGAGACTTGAGCGTTCTTCTGCGGGGTGCGATGACTTGGTTGAACACGAGGGACAAGATGCGGGTTGAGTTAGTCTTTTCTAATTTTAAAAAGTATCCTATAAGATTAGCATGGATCTCCGGTTAGAATCGGTTGATATTGATATTCAGTCCTTCAACATCAAAAGTAGATGGAAGCAGAAATGTTTCCGAAGCGGAGAAAAGTGGAGCCTGAATGCTTTGACGAATCCTATTTTTGCCGATCACTTCCTGGATTGGCTAATCTTGCGCTGACCCAATCAGCTCTGACAAATGCTCTGGTTCGTCTCCACCATCCTATCATTGCAACGCCCTTCTAACGACAACATAGTTTAGGATGTGGTGCAGGCTCCTAGAAAGATGTAGATTTTACATAACTGGGAGGAAAGTAGGGTCGAGCGGAACCAGGGTTCCGCATCCACTTGGCGGGTATACAAATCTGCCTGCTCGCACATTCCGCAGTGATTATTTGAGTCAATCTCGCCTCCCATCTATAATGAATCCCCATTCTAACGACCTTTCCAATGGCAGTGATTATATGGAAAACCGTGGAGATGTCGAACTCGCCTCGTCTTGGGAATCCGACGTCCACACTGCGGCCGATGCCGTCCACGAGGTAGCTCGCATATTCAAAGACATCAATCTGAACATCGAAAAGGACGACATCGTCAAGACCGCCAGCGACGCAGAAGCAGCCAGCCTGAAAAAGTATGGAACACCAGGGCTCGCGCGCTCGGTAGAGAATGTCCTCCAGGAAGCGTTTGAGATATTCAACTACCGAATGCGCATGAACCATCCCCGATTCTTTGGCTTCATCCCAGGACCCGCGTCCCCGTTTTCCTGGCTGGGTGAAACTGTCACATCCGCATTCAACTCCTTCTCTGGGTCACGACTGCAAGGATCTGGACCGGGCGCTATTGAAACGGAGCTTATTCACTGGATGGCTTCTAAGGCTGGCTTACCCGCTACGACAGCAGGAGGACTATCTGTTTCCGGAGGATCAATGGCGAATCTAACAGCCATGGTCCTGGCTCGAGACCATACGATGCCGTGTGAGAAATGGCCGCTGGGCGTGGCATATGTTTCCGACCAGACGCACTCGTCCGTCGCTAAAGGTCTCCGGATTCTGGGGTTCCAAGCTAAACAAATCCACAAGATACCGAGCGATGAGCACTTTCGAATGGATGTATCTTCGTTAAAACAGGCCATCCAGTCTGATCGAGATGCAGGGCTGTGTCCGTTTGTCATTATCGCCAGCTGCGGGACAACAAACACCGGCAGTGTTGATCCGCTGCATGGCATTGTGGATGTTGGCCGGCAGGAAGGACTATGGATCCACGTTGACGGCGCATACGGGGCATCCGCCTTGCTTTCAGAATCGAGGGCACCGCTGCTCGATGGATTGGGAGGGGTGGATAGTATCTCGTGGGATGCGCACAAATGGCTATTCCAGACGTATGGATGCGGTGTTCTCCTGGTTCGCGATAAAGAGCATCTCGCACAGAGCTTTCATACAGATGCTGAATACATACGCGACGCAGCAGACGGAGAGGACATTCCTAACTTCTGGAATCTCGGTCTGGAATTGACACGGCCGGCGAGGATTATGAAGTTATGGTTCACGTTACGCATTCTGGGCGTGGATAAGGTTGATAAAGTGATTACCCATGGCTGCAGACTGGCTGAGGCTGCAGAGATGCAGCTTAGATCAACACCGGACTGGGAAGTGACGAGTGCTGCTAGTCTGGCGATTGTGACATTTCGATTTGTTCCGGGGGGCAAAAATGACGACGAACTGGATGCGCTTAATGATGCTATCTCCAAGCAACTGGTGTTGGAGAATGTGGGTGGTATCCTGACCACCAAGGTCAAGGGCAAAGTGGTGCTGCGGATCTGTGCACTCAGTCCATTACTCACAGAGAGCAAGATGAAGGCTATCATACAGGAGGTGGACTCCGTTGGCAGGAAGGTCTTGCAGGGTTTCCTGTGAATATCATGTTTATTTATACTGAGACTTTATACTAAACATAGGGACTGCTAAAAGCATCACCTATTCTTACAATCCATGAAGCTCTTCTAAAGTAAAGATAGTTACTGATAACCCGGCAACTCCACCCTCACAACCTGCCCACCCTGAGTCGTCACATACGCCGTCTTCCCATCTTTCGCAATATTCACAGACGTAGGCCCATGAAGAGCAGTGCTATTTCCACCCCCGGCAACAATCACTTGCTTTCCATCGGGCGTGATCCGAGCCAGCGCATTATGCGGCTGGGCAACATACGCAACGCCACTGGCATCAATGGCAAAGTCATCCCAGTCAGATCCGTCGTTGCTATTCAATCGCGCAATAACCTTGACGTCGTTGACTATATCCCCATTCTCGGAGATGGGGATGCGCGCGAAGATGTTCCGGGCGGAGTTTGTGAAGAAAACGTTTCCGTTGGCGATCTTCAGCCCGTTTATTCCGATTGGGATTGAGGCGTTAGCTGGTGCAAAGAGGGCGGGGTGTTGGAAGGCGATCTTGGAATTTCCTGTCTTGGTGTCTACTTGGAACAGACATCCACGACGGGAATCAGCGACGAAGACTACATCTGGCCGTGTCGGTAGGGATGCCAGGCCATTGAACATGACAGCCTCTGGAACCTGGGTAACAGCCTTGATGGTTGGTTTCGTCTCGTCCTTTTCATTATCAAAGTCCACCGTGAAGACAGTCTCATTCGTATAGTGATAGTGACCACGGATTCCACCAACAACAGCAAACGTGTTGGCCCCGATAGCTGCGATGCCGGAAATGGCAGTGACGCCGGGGAATACAGCGACGAGTTCCGCTTTTGGTTTGGCGACAGTTGGATCGAGGGTGTAAAGACTGCCGTTGTTGAATGTCGTCAGAAGCAGATGGCCATTAGGACGGAGAATGCTATTCTCGATATCGACGTAGGTGGTGAAGTTGAATAGTTGCGTCGTTGATTGTGCGAGTGCCGAAGAAGCCAGGATGGCCAGGGAGGCCAGTGTGGGGAGATGCATTTTGGTGCTTTTGGATGAAGTATTTTGTACTCAACTCAATGGGAGACGTGGGCTTTATATGAAACTATTCGACTGACGATCGTCATTTCCTCCGTCTGCACCTCAGCTTAAAAAACAAACTCGGTCTCTATAGCCCGATTAGTCTTAGACTGAAGACTTTTCTCCGATTGCTGCATTTTTTTCATCGAGAGCCGAAGCTAATGTCTCGGCAGGGTGAAGCGAAGATTATTTCGGGAGATATCGGTAGATATGTTTTAAATTAATTAGTATACTTCTACATAGTACATAGGAAAAGACTGAATATCTGATTGACGAAAAAGGGGAAGTGCGGAGAAGTGGGGCTGATCGATTAGATTATACAGAGAATTATCATTAGAACATCGTACATATAAACATCAAGGCAATCCTTCATTTTCACCAGCAAGAACTTGACCAACATGCTCTGCTACATTATATTGAAAGACTTCTTGCATCGGTTTGGACAAAACACTCGGAAAGAATCCTGAACTGTCAGCTATGGCCTGATATTATATGAGATACTCACCTAAAATCCACATCACGCCGTACATAAAATACTCCTGAACGATATTCATCTCCCGCTTATGATCCTGTATCTTCTGCGCATGTTCCAGAATCCCCCTGACATGCGGCTGACGCAGATCCACATAGTACTTGGCAGCTGTCTTGATAGCCTGCTTCTCCGCTGCAATCTGTGGTGGAAGTGGACATTCATACTCCCTGCGAAGAAAGTATGCCAGAAACAAAGCGAATGCTTCAACATCCTCTAGTGCCTGTGAAGATCCCTGTCCTGAACTCGATGGTAGAGCATGTGCTGCATCACCAACGAGGACGACGCCTTCTCGTTCCCATGTTGGCAGCTGCGGTGACGTCCATGTTGGATACATACTATCCACCTGCACGGAATGGATGATTTTCTGGACGACAGGATCTTCCCATTCTCCGTGTCTCCCTTGTAATTGACGGACGATGTCTTCCTTGTCGATGGTTTTTGGATTTGGACAGACATCCACTGCGTAGGTTGACCACCATGCGATGGAATCTCCCGGTTCGGAGATATCATATGGTGAATCTCGATTTGGATCTGATGGATTGCTTTCTGAAAAGAAATACCCGAAGAATCCATTTCCACCAAAGATGAAATTCATCGAACCTTTTTCAACATAATCTCTAACTTCATCCGAGGGAATAAACCCACCGATCCCAACAAGACCCCTGACTCGTTAGAGCTGTCATCGACAAAAGAGAAAAACTCACTCGTAATGTGGAGGATAGTGATCATCCCCGTCATCAGCAAAAACAGCCCGTTTAGCAATACTTTTAATCCCATCCGCCCCGATGACCAAATCCGCCTGCACGTCGGCGCTTCCATCGCTGAAGCTGACGATATTCCGACCTGCTGCGTTTGCCACGACGCGCGAGACTCGCTTGTTGATGATGACGTCGTCTGGGATACGCCTGCGCAGACATTTCCACAGTGAGTGGCGACTTGTGGCGACCATATTCATTCCCTGTTTACCATCATCCTGTGATGAATCCGTCGAGTCCATCCGCATAAGAAGTCGCCCGTTTTTATTCTTCAGATTGGAGTGGTCGACTGTATACCCCCCACGAACAATATCACGGAGCAGATCTTCATCTAGACGTTTGAGAACATTCAGCCCGTTCGAACCAACCCCCAGCCCCCCTCCCACGACCAGCGTCGATGAATGAGTCGATCCCTGCCGATCTTGGGCTGTAGTGTCGGGGTGGGTGCTGTATGCTTCGTAGATGGTGAAGTCATGTTTGACGGCTTTTGGAAGATGTTTCTTTAGCTGCAGATAGGCCGTGCATCCGGAGATTCCGGCACCGATGATGATGATCTTCATTTTGGGGTTGAAGATGTGTTTGCATGTGAAGATAAGGATCTGTTACTTTGAGGTTGTTTTAAGCTTGGGGTTACATTGCCACTGCCACTAGTCACGGTACTTTTTCTTCCAATGGGGGTGCAGTGGTTATTGTATGTCCAATCATTACCATTATCATTATACTATCTATGATCTATATTTCTATCAAGGTGAGATTACTTTGGAGTCTACTTGTGGTAGGCAATCACTTCTATCATCCACAGTAAGAGCCTGGCTACGTCTCAATAGCAATATAGTGTCAAATAAGAAGAGAACTGTCAGCCAAGCAACTGAGATAACTCAGTTGGAATCTTCCTTGGTCTAGTGGTCATGATTTCCGCTTGTCATTAATCTGATAAGCGCGGGAGACCGGGGTTCGATTCCCCGAGGGAGAGATTCATTTTTGCTATTTCTTTTTGCTTCTTCACATACACTCTCGGGCAGGCCATTCCAGAGCAGAGAATCGATAGGAATTTTCTCTTTGTGAAATGCTTTTTTCTCTCTCTTCTTTGTTGAAAACTGATGTACACATTTCATGTAGACCTCGTTTAGATATTCCCAAGTGGACCTCACGGAGCATAAATACTCCGCATCCCGAACACCACAAAAGCAACTCCCACATCCGGACATACTGAAATGCTATCGCATATACTAATAAACAATATATCCAAAATGACCCAAAAACCATTCCTCCTCCCAGCAGACATGATGGAGTCTCAACTATCCACAATTGACCTACTCACGGCCATGTTCCCTTCAGAAGGCGAACTGGAAATTCCCACATCCACAACACAGTGCGTTGAAAAACTGCGTGCATGGTGCGAGGATCCGTCGAGTACTATGCCGTCTGGGATTCCTGAAAATATACTCCTCGCTGTGCGTCTACCAATTGCGGGCGGGGAGAAGGTCATCCAGGTTAATATTTCCATTCCGCTACAATGCGAGGATGTGGGGATTGAGCAGCCGCCTGCGTTAAGTTACTCGCTACGACAGCCGGAGTGGATGTCCAAAGCTGAGGTTACTAGAATGGGGGCCGCGATGCCACGAGATGATGTCCTGGAGGCGTTTGAATATGTTCAAGAAGAGGCACTCCGCTTCTTGGAAAATCAGCAATCGCTGGCATCTGAGAATGCACCAAGTAAGAAGTCCGGGCCTATTGTGCGAGTGTGGTTTTATTTTCCGTCATTATCAACCCGTGCAAAAAGAGATGATATGGTCAACAATGCACCAGGCTATTCTCTCACGGGCTTTGTGTTGGCAGGCAAACCGGGTGTATTGTGTCTAGAGGGTGCATCGACGGATATTGATGATTACATGAGCTTCATCAAGACACATTCGTGGGGTGACATCCCCAGTCATCAGAAAAAGGTCAGCGAGAGATTTAGAGAGACGGAGAATGTCCAGAGAGTGTTCTCCGGGATGGAGGAAATCACGGATTCACTGGGAGAAAGGGGTGGGCAGAGAGCAAATCGGGGCGATATGCAGGCGTTGGAGGCGTGGCTGACAGCGAGAGGGCTGCAAGGTGCGTTTGAGAATGTGATATTCTAATGCAGTGCTATAAATGATGATTTGTTTCTACCCGACTGTATAAATATTCTCGTCAAGTCCCAGGTGGGCGTCAATCCCGCTCCGTGGCATTTAATCTATATTTTATAGAAAAAGCGAACAAATCGTTATTTGTCATCTTGCCTGTTTATAGCCAAGGGACACTGATGCAGAGAATGGCCAGTAAACCCAAACTCAAGCAGCGATGTCTTTTTTCCAATCCAGGTTCATTGAAATAGACGAGTCGTCGCAAATTCAGAAGTTGGGTACCACACTTATATAAGTCCATATAAGCTTGACTTAAGGTTCTAAGGGACCTACTACTGCCTGATTATCCAGCTTTCTTCACTTGATTATTCCGCTATTCGCCCCCTTCATCCTATGCTTTATTATCCACTTCCTTCCCAATCAGCTCTGTTCATCTCTTCAGGCTGCCTGAATTGTCCATGTAAGTTTAGTTCCACGAGTAGCATCGAAGTTGCATCAAAGTCAGTCTAACCAACAGATGTGGCATGATATTCACTGTTGAGAGGGGGTTTCCTGGAAAGGAAAGACAATGCGCCAAATTTAGCCTTCATGCCTTCCGTGCCCTGATATATAGAGGTTAGTGAAGACTTATCAACGAAGTTGTAGTGTTAAGTAATACGGTAGACACTGCCTGTGACATCTTTTGCTAATTCCCTTTGCTTTGTTAGAGCTTGTAGTCTTTTATTTGGTGTAGTATATAGTCAACTGCGCAATATGTCCGATTCTCTCCTCGTCTAGGATGTTCGCGTATCCGTGTTGAATGATGTAGCAACTTTGATGTTACCTGAACCGACTAGGAGGGGATCTACTGGAAGTATTTGTAGCAGCTGATTTGCGCCTTTCTCAGTGATTCTTGTTCAGGTTCTTCAGATTCCTCGAGGGCTTTCCGACGGCCATCCTTGGGGTAGCTTTAGAAATACTGTCGACCTACAGAGATGATGGATCGTATATTTTGTAGCTGAAATTGCTTGAGCACAACCAGATAGCTAGCAGTGGCTATAAAATGAGACAGAGGCACCCCAAAACTGTCATTAATATTATTCATCATATAGCAAGGCTCCACCACTACTCGACAATGGCATCTTTTCCGTCCAATGTTACATCTCTTCCTCCTATACAAGATGTCAGAGTTGAACCCAGCATTGAATAAATCTATGAGCATGATTCTAGAATAGGCCTATATTAGAATCGACAGTTTGATATCAAGACTCTAAATGTAGAGGTCAACTCTGGAGCTATGTGCAGCTACCTTCATAGGACTGGTTAAATACGCTTTGGTTCATATAATTTCCCGGGATAAAAGATACCCACAGACCTTGATAGACTAAGATCAAGCCCAAACCTGGGCCCTATTTTCTTTTCTGCTGATTCTTCGGCTAAAAGGATATATGATTTACTCCTTGGAGCTTTACTTGATAAACCTAAAAACTGCTATTCACCATTCTTATAATTCTATGGCATCTAGATCATATGCAAGTATGCCAATCAACTGCTTGAAAGACGAACAGACTCCCTTTCCCATTCATGGAAGGTGCTAGGCTTTCCTAGTGTTAGATCTTGTTATTACTTACATATATAGCTCTCTGTAGTATGGTTTGAGAAGAGACTGGGCTGAGCCTAACTATCTACTATTGATACCACATACCATAGAAGATGATAGATTGATGTGACTGTCTAATAGTGTATCGATACCACTAGAGCAAGCAATGTCTGATAATTCAGACAGTGGCTAGCCCATATACACGTCAACATAGCTTATCATCAGCTTCCATTGACCGGTTCCCCATCCTCGGTGTATGCTCGAATACTTGATTTATATACGTAACCAAGATTTGCAGCTATTATATCAATCGGGCTGGTTTGATATCATTCATTCTTGGGAAGAGCTGACACCATGAGCTATCTCAGCTGTGTTTGCCTATAGTGGCTGGCTGCAACATGGCATTTTCTACAGTAATAAACAAACAGTCCCCCCGGGTGTAGTACATCTTTCACTCAACCTATATTTGCTCTATTACTATGGCCAGTCCTAGGGCAACCTGGACAGAAGCTTCTCCAAGACAATGATAACTGATAAAACCCGAATTAATGGATGTTTAATTATATTTACAGCACTACAGTTTTCTACGAAAAGACATCTGTTCAACTTCATCCATGCTCTCTACTTCAAACTCTCTAGCCACGACTTCATCCTGACTATCCATATCATTCTATGAAGGATGCTACTTGAGTTCCATCAATCTCATCTTGAACCGAGGCTGATATGTGATTATACAGCGCATCCAGTTTGGGATGCTTCTACTCTCCGTGCATCAAGATCGCCAGTCTCGCACATCTGTTCCCATTGATAGTGGATTGACCAAGTTGAGGCATTTTACCGGTGTTACACCGTACACCGTGTAATAAACAATACAGGTGGGGATCTAAGTTCGTGGTCCGCTCAAGCGGGCCGGTGGATCCCACACTAGCAGACCCACAGTCTATTGCAGCCCACCGAATCTGTCTGAATCGGTCGGTGAACGAGAACGCCGATGCGGAAATACGGAGAGCAGATATGACTGGCTGTGAAGAAAGGCAGGGCTGAACCAAGCAATTGCCGTTAAGGGGCAGATCGTCTTGGCTGGTCTGATCGACGGCATTGGGCTGAGGTTGCCCTCAAGGTCAAATCCCCTGAGATTTGATATTATTCACGCCAACAATTATTCCAAAGGATGGTCAAAGAACTTGGACTAAGGGACAAAGATACGAGACAACTCATTGTCCGGATGAGACGGCTCACGAGGTACTATTGTATACATGTGAAAGTAGATTGATTATAACTTGATAATATTCCCACTATCTAGCCCTCTATCTGCACTTGCATTGCTTGTTTGCATACCAAACGGACATATCAGAATGGAGGAATTCAAGTATCAGTGTAAAACGGCCCATCCGTTTACTTATCGGGCTTTTTTCTATATAGGCCTGATTGTCGACTCGTGCCTCGATGAGGTTATTCTCCGTGATAAAGCGGCAGAGTTGATCAAGGCCAATCCGACTCTTGGTGGACGTTTGATTCCCAGTGTATGTCTATGTTTCTGGTATAATATACAGTTGTCTAACTTGATAGACACGACCATGGACGTTATCTACAGGCTCGAATGTCGACTTTTCCAGTCGCCAGGTGGATCAGGATGTATCGGATTTTTTCAAACATTATGAGACGACGAACGTCAATTTTGAACCCAAAGCCATGCATTCCTTAAGCATGCAAGACCTCGACTCGATGTTCCTCTTCGATCTGCCCAAGAAACTCGAGAATCTCTTCAGCATCCGAGCGACCGTCCTCCGCGATGCCACCATCCTCTGCTTCGGCTTCAGCCACCATTTCGCTGACGCCACATCTGGATACAACATCATCAAAGCATATTGCAATCTCCTCGCCAACCGAGCAAGCAC